TTGACTTGACTACATATAAGGTAAAGGTTCCCCTTGACATTTAGTCCAGTAATGTCTGACTCTAGGGTGCGGTGCTCATCCCCGTCTCCAAGCCATAGATCCAGCATTTGTCCGTAGACAGTTCCTGTGGTCACGTGGCCAGTGCGACTTAGACACGGAACGCCATTACCTTCCCACCAAGGCGGCACCTATTTACCTACTCGCATTTTACATGCTTTTGAACTGCTAGGTTGGCAGGAGCTGGGACAAGCAACTGGAGCTCACTCCATCACGTGGATTCGATCTTACGATTGCCGGTCTTCAAACCTTGCAGCACAGAGACTTCTGCAGTTAAACCCGCAGCACCACCACATCCCTTACTGACTACATATAGTCAACAGAAAAATAATATGAATCAGACCATCCCAATCTCATAGCATTTCCCATCTTATTAGTCCATTTCCCTCCTAAGACTTGCAAAAGCATAAGAAGATTCCTGCTGCATTGGACCAAAGACCTACGTATTTGGTTTACCATCCTTTTCTCACACAGTGGCTAACCAGATGTCCTTGGGATTTGGAGCATTCAGTGGTTTGCTGGAGCTCTATTTGGTACTACTGTATATAGCTGCCAATCCTTCACAGTCATGTTTAACCCATTTTTCCCACTTGACATTTTTCATATACAGTATTATGGACTCATAATGCACAACAATCATTGGTTAAGCTGGATGGGGTGTGGGAGAATTGTATACTGTATCTGGAGAGTACAAGCCTGGAAAGCTGGTGCAATAATTTAAAGCCATTTAAGCTTGTGACTGCCTCCATTTAATGCAGCCTTATAGGGACAAATGTGCCCTTTTTATCTGCAATAGAAATATTTTGAACTAGGTGGATATAATCTCTTAATCAAAGAAAAAGATGCCTTAAGATGTTTCACTCTTAAGTTTGTCGGAATCATAAAACAGTGTCTGGCAACTACTTCACAAAAATACAGGCAAGCCAACAGAACAGAACATATTAAGATTTATTTATTCAGCCATCCCAATACCTCACAATAATTGGTTACAAAAAACAGATAGATATTTGGGATGATCACTCAGATGGATTTAGGGAAGGAATTGGAACATAAAGTCCTGCTGATGTCATTCGACTACATCTCCCTACAACTCCATGATCGGCTATGATGACTAGGGCGAATGGGACCTACAATTCAACAACACCTGGAGGACCACAAGTTTTCAAATTTAGAAACAGAAAAGATTAGATAAATTCTTCCTGAGCATATCTGTCAAATGATTCCTGCCACAACAGCCGTAGGCCCTCAGCATTTACAGGCAATGTACTTCTGATTGTCAGATGCTGTAGCACAATGGCTCCCAACCTTGGGTAACCCAGGTGTTCTTGAACTGCAACTCCCAGAAGCCTTCATCACCAGCTGTGCTGGCCAGGATTTTTGGGAGTTGTAGTACAAGAACAACTGGGGACCCACAGTTGGAAAGCACTGCTGTAGGAGAAACAGAGAGTGATGACTATCTTACTTATACAGAGTCTGTGGCCTTCTCAAAGCAGAATTACTGTATAGCCATACTGTAATTCCTTCCAGCAGTTTGATAATTTCTGTAATTTAAATTCATGCTATACATCACATCTTATTTTATGTCATTAATTTTTAAATTCAAACAATTTTTAACTGAGTCTTAAACTCTTCTGTAAAATCTTGTATCTCAACAGATGCAGGCTGCAGCATGATGCAAAGTGATGCCTGTTTATCTGGATATGAGATCACTTTGTGTTTATGTTACTTTGAACAAAGTGAAATGTTCCTCAGAGGAACAATCTATGGGATGATAACTGCACCAAACACAGCCCTCTAAATGCTTACTTAGGATTTATTTGTTCACAGGGTTTTCAACCTGCTGTGCCAGGCACACATATTTTCAGGATAGTGTGAGTTGAAGACATACATTTTGCTTCCTAAGAAAAGGGACAAGATGGCACCTGTCTTCAGCTCATGTATAGAGAAGTCAGCAGGACTGGTGGTTGCTCACAGGATACATTCTTCCACTAAATCAAAGGGCACAAGGTTAATTAATGGGGTGTTTACTGGTATTTTGTGGCATATACAGCTCTATTCAATAAGAGGAGAAAATGGCCAGGGACCTCAGAAGAAACACCTGGAAGGTTGTTATTGTCACTCCTCAGCATCTGCTACTTGAAATGGTTGCTTCATTCTTATGCCGCCTAATGGTAGGGCTGGTCTGATTTTTAAAACACAATAATAAACATAAAACACCTGAGTAAAAGCAGAGAGGTAAATAAGGTGGTATATGAAAGACTTATAAAGACTGTTTAAAAACAACAGTTCAAAGGTCAGAGCAAGTCAAATGGTTTTTACTGAACATCTGAAAAGCTGAGAGACAAGCCTGCCTAGAGGCCCAGTCCCAGTGTTAGGATGCCATGACTAAAATAATGTTTTACACTTCCCCACCCATTTAATAATTGAGGGTGGTGGGCCAGACTGGTGAAGCTCCACATAACTTTTATCTTGAGCAGTGCAAGTTGAGGAAATGGTCTTTGGAAACTTAAACACCAACACAACACCTTTGGGTAGAAAGGGATTTTTTAAAATGAAGTTTTGTAAAACACTGTTTAGTCAGACACATACCCTGAGAGACAGGAGGGAATTGCCAATCAACCCTTATTTACAGCTTGTTAAGGCAACATATGCTGCGCAGTCCAGGTTTGCAGAAGGCATAGCTGCAGCAAAGGTTGCTTCAATGAGCTGCGAATAATGGCTGATCAGCAATTTCCTCCTCTTTCTCTGATGAGTCCTGTCTAGTCAGCTAAAGCAATTTCAGCCCAGGGAAACTGGAGTTCCCAAATCACACTGGATCAATTCAATTTTTTCCCTGCTGTGTAGGCACATCCTTAGCTAGAGAAACAATGGATAGCAGCTCTTCATGCTTAGAAGAACATGGGGCTTCCCTATGTATATCTATAATTCCTTCACTACCTATAAATGAACTCCTATAAATCAAAACAATAACCATATGATTTCCTCCTTTTTCCTAATATTTACAGAATCATTGCTTCTCAGAACATACGAGCTCTGCACTAGGCTACTGCACTCTGTGATGGAGTACTAAATAGTTTAAACTCCCAGACAAAACTACAGCCTTGAACTGGGCCTGTAAATGGATACAAACCATTTTCCATACACCTGAATCCAATTACAGAAGTTGTAATCTAGCTCCCATATTTTCTAGTATGTAAAACCTTTCCTTAAATTGTCATTAAGGACAACTTGTCGTATTTTATTTATTTTTCTACCATTTATATACTGCCTCATTAGTGCACAGCACTATTCTGGGCGGTGTACATATAAAATAGTAAAATGGCATAAGCCAATCAATTTGAAATCAGGCAGCAGCTAGTTAAAAGAAGCCACCATTGAAACCTGATGGCACAGCATGAGCATAGGTGCAGTGACTTTGCCTGGAGCAACACCCTCATGCAACCCCTTACACGCTGGGCCAAACTGTCACTCTTCAGCAGAGGCCATTATCTGGTTCCCTGGGATAATGCTGGATCTAGCAACCAAAGGAGTGCAACCTCATGGAAAATAAGCCAATCACTATATAGGTGTGCAGGAGAACTGCAGCCAGCCCAGTCATTGGACAGCATGAGGCAGTTGCCCCTATTTGCAGATGGGAGAGCTGTGTGCCCTAGAGTTTGTCCTCATCACCCCTAACTAAGCCTATTGCTTTCAGGCACAGTGGAAGATACTGAAGACTGAACTACCATCTAGCCAGCGTTTGCCTATGAAACACAAAAGGCGCCATCTTGCTTTTTGCAACCGTCTTGGGCCACAGGTTGGGAGCAATTGGGTGTTTTAAATATATGGCTACTAATTATGAGGGTTATGGTTGTATTTTTCACTGCCAGGGAAGGGGGAGGAAAGGCGCTTGATGGGATTTTCTACTTCAGGTACTGAAAGAAAGAATGAATCTTGGGGCCTCTGCTTGTTAACTTTGGGGTTGGGAAACGTGTCACCCCATCTCAGGTACTAACATACTTAGTGCCACCATTAGACACACACACAACCGCTGCCCTTGGTCTCCTTCTTTTCGGTTATCTATGAAGGGTTGCGGCTTGGAGGCTGTTCCTCCGCCATCGCCGGCCCTTGAAAGTTGGCAGCTCGCGTTTAGGACGGGCTTTGGGAGCAGGGCCGCCCTCTTCGGCGCTCTCTCCCGGCCTCGCGTGCACCCGGGGCGCGCGGGCGCGTTCGTCAGCCCCGGGGGCCAAACTCCACGCCGGGTTTTCCAAGCCGCTTCGAACCCGTAGGCAGCATGCTGTGAGAACTGAGGCTGAGAGGGGCTCCTTCATCTCAAACCTCACACAGGGCTCAGCTTACCCTCCTCCTGCTGCTAAAGATCCCACCTTTAAAAAAAAAAGAAAGAAAAAGGAAAGGGGGGGGGAGAAAGGACCAACAACTTAAAAAACTTTTCAGAAAAATACCCTCCTTTAATCGATTGAAAGTAACAAGTGG